AAATGGCCTAGCTTTTGATAAATTTTAAAACTTTTTCATTTTGATGGAACGGTCGCGGCTTCGGCGAATGTCAGCTATGGACGCGCATTTCCTTAGAAAAGGAAGAGGATATTTCTAGGAATCAAATAAAGAACTGAAACTCATGCTAAAATAAGTAGAACGAAAACTAGTTGAATAGAATCGAAATTAAAAAAGCGAGATGAGCGGCAAACACGTGTTGGCGCCCGAGGCAACTGCGAGTTGACTCCGGCCATCACCAAGCTTATATACGGTTTTTGACAGGGAACAGAGGCACAGCACATATGACTACGATCAACAAAGTACATCAGGTCTACTTCGTTGATTTTTGAAAGTTGCCAGGTGACCGGTACTGGATAGATGACTGTTGGGATGATCAGCAATTTGTCATTTGTGGAAAACATGTTCTACTCATAGGCGGCTGGAGAGATCTCGCAGCTGGCGTCGGGATAGGAATGCCACAGAAAGCGGAACGAGTCAGGTGAGTACGGCTAGACGACCACAAGGCGGTTCCGCTGATCACGCGGAACCCAAGAAAGATGACGATTCTGCCACCACCTGTCGCCACGGCTGCTCGTGTATCAACTGATGGACGGCAATAGGGACCAGTGGACATGAAAAGAACGACCAAGACAAATGAGCGTCGTGAGGGTGTTGCAAGAATGTGTTGCAAATAGCAACGATCTACGATGTGCAGACTTTGATCGGAGCATGCCAACATTCACGTGCGCCCACCTATGGAGTCGTTAATTACTCAGGTAGACAGCCACGTACAATCACTTACCAGTCACATGTCAATATTTGTTCCGCATTACAGTTCTATAAAAGAGAAGTAGCAGGGTCTGAGGCATTGCTTTTATGAGACGTCGGCCTGCACTGCTTATAAGGACAGTTACGATTTTATCGAACAGCGCGTTCGTGCATGGAAAAGATGCATAGCGGAGAAGGCAGCGACTCCCAAAGGCACGTAAGCACATCAAAACTTGATATCAACGAGGGAAAAACGCCCATTTCTTAGGTTTCCGACGGCCACTATTCGCTTCATAACAAGCGGTGAACGGCGCGCTACCAAGGGCATGATAAGGCGCTAGTGAGGAATTTAAAGCCGGCGCTCATTTCTTCGGGGAGGGGGGGGGCATGCAAAACAGGGCCGAAGGCACGTTGGACTAGGACTAAGCCTAGCACTCCCTAGGGCTCTGTTCCAAGCACACTAATTGGCTCTCTAAGATGTCTTTGTGCTTGGATATCCCCCCACAGATAAATGACCGCCCCAAAGCCTATCAATCTCATTCCACTTCCCGCTGAAGACGGGAGGAGGCCAAAATGAAAGCATCTTTGATACCGTACCGTTGACGTTAGCGTTCAGTGTTCATTATTCAGAAGGAATTTCTTACTTCCGGCTTCAGTCAACTACTGAGCGCGTCCATTACCGACATGGTTAAACGTTAGCGTCAACTTTAGCTTACGATTATCCGTAAGCTCTTCAAAACTTGAAGAAAAAGGTCCACTCATGGAGATTTGAGGTTCCTCTTCGCTCCACTTACAGGCTATCCTAGCATCTCCAATCCATAAATATACTTGAGTGATTTGCTGGGATCGCTTTCAAAGGAGCTCGCTCGAGGAAACCACCTGATTTGATACCTCCTCTGGCCTTCATTTCACGGCGACCAAAATCAGTCAAAAACAAGTCTGACGGAACGCATATATAAGGAAAGGATAAGGGTGCTGATGTACTAACAAGGGGAGGTCGTTCAGGGTGTGTCGAGCTTTTCAAAACGGTTTCTTACATGATTTAGGGGCACATGCAGAAACAGAGCCATAAACCGTTTTTCCTGAACGGCCCTCTAAATACCAGAAAAGGCGTAGCTCTAGTTCGTAGCAGAAACTTTTGCAGTCGAGATGAAGTTCAAATTTTCGACAAATGGGGTTAGCATGGATAATAGTTCGATATTCATGATTGGACTGTTATAACGCTTGAAAAGGAGTTGGGCTAAAACTGGTGAAAGGTGTGACATCAAAAGCCCCACTGTGTGTCACACCTTTTCACCAGTTTTAATCAAAGTCTATTTGTAAGGTTTACTGACGGTCCTAATCATGAATATGGTACTAATTATTCATGCTAACTCCATTTTGCGCGAATTTTGAAACGTCAACTCGAAATGCAAAAATTTGTCACCGAACTAGGGACCCCCTTTCTGGTATTCAGAGGGCCGTTCAGGAAAAATGAACCATGGTTCTGTGGTCCCGCATGTGCCCCAATGTCATGCAAGAAACCATTTTGAAAAAGCTTGGCACACCCTAACGACCTCCCTTGTAAGGAGAAAGGCATCGCGGGCCAGTAGCTGATCCTAGCAGATATTCCAGTTTTCACAGAATGGAAGCTCCCCCGGTTTCATGAACCATTTTGGTTGTGCTAGAAGAAATCCAAGCATGTATCGAAATGGAGTCAGTTGTTGTGCTTCCGAAAACCTGCGCCTCCCCCACTAGTGCACAGAAAAGAGTACTCACAAAAAAGGTTCTTTGATTGGAAATATCATTTATGCACAAGTGCGGGTGCAAAACCGCTCACACTAGCAGTGTTATGTCAAAGCTATGTACACGATTTGATAGCATTTTTGTCTGTAAAGTGTACCTGAAAACGACTAACCGATTGTGCCTGCGGTGGTATGTAGACGTCTCAGAGGATGTGCGAAGCTCGGCTTCGCACGCCTTGAAATGATTCTCACCGAAGATAAGCCGCCTATCAAAATACTTTCAACAAAGAATGCTCGATCATTCTTCTGGAATCAAGCCGTTATGACTTGAGAAATGAGTTCAATGCAGTCGCTGATTTTTTATAACATTACCTATAGATCGAAAACAAAATGAAAAAAGGGCTATGTTGATTATCACCTACTCATCTTTTACTCGCGTACCAATCACTTCATTATATAAACCAGAGGTTTGGTGTGTCGGTTTGTTTGTGTGAATGCACGTTTGTCTGTCCGTCCGCAAAATGGTCGACTAGAGGCGAGAG